TGAAACCCGAGTCATTCCGGTACGTAGAACCGGCTGTCGTGGGAATGGCGAAATTTGCTATTATATTTTGGTTAGCATATCTTATTTAGGTGAAGGTAAAAAAAAAAAAAAAGAAGTGTGCTATTATATTTTGGTTAGAATATCTTATTTAGGTGAAGGTAAAAAAAGAAGTGTGTAGTGTAAACTGAGTATAATAACGCAACTGAAATGTGAAATAAAGTGGCAATACCAGCGATTTGAGGTTATAATTTTGGCAGGCGCAAAGTTTTTTTACTCTGTTTTATTAACGAAATATATAAAATAAAAGTGAATAAATGATTCGGTTTGCATAAAATAATAACCAAAGACGTTTTTATAGTGTTTTAAAAGTGGAAACGGGAAATGTTTAGTTATTGGCCCATCGTTTTTGGGATGGTGGGCGGGGGGGAGGGTGCGTGGCCCCCCAAATCCCCCTCATCCGAAAGGGGGCAGTCGCCACTTTACGAAAAGCCCCACCCCCCTTGGGGACCTCCCACAGACCCCTAGGGAACCGTTTGAAAATGGGGTAAAAACGGCATTTTCCGAGGCAAACTGAGCAGTTTGAAGTGGAATATAACCCAACTAACGAAAACCGTGGGATTTTTAAATAAAAGAAATTATCCCAAGTTGGTTATCAGGCGATTTGAAAAAAAAATTAACTAAAAAAAAGTTAACTAAAAAAAACATTTAGGGAAAAAAATTAACTAAAAATATTGTGAAATTAAGAAAAAAGCGACAGATAGTCAGACAGAATGTTGTAGTTATAGTAATATGATCAAGAATGATAGAATACAAGATTGCGCCGTCCTGCGCGTTGACATTTGTGTACCACAAGTAAACAAAGAATAGAGCGAAAAGAAGAACGAGTTGAAACTGCCAAAACAGTTCACCTTACAGCGAAAAACGTGTTTTAATTTTGCTAAATGCGAAAATATTGCATTTTTACCTAATCTATTAGAGAATAGGTAACATTTTAGTGCACTCCATTGCCTTGCAATTGAGGCTGCTTCAGCAAACGTTTTAGTGCACTCTATTGCTTTGCAATTAAGGTTGCTGCAGAAAACTGCGGCAGCATCTCAGCGGGATTGATTAGTTAACTTGCTAATGGAGGCTGCTTGGAGCGGAAGCAAAATCATTGCGAGGAAATGCTGTTATTGTAATGATAAAGAACCATTTCCGGAACGGCTTTGCCGTGCCCTATGTACACAAAATGCAGCGATTCGTCCAAGAACTACACTTGCATCTACGCATCTTGCATCTTGATGCCTGTCGCAATTTAACACAGCACTTCTTTTTATTAGATTTTACGCAGTCTTCAACTCAAAAATCACTCACAAATTGCAAATTAACATAATTTAAACTGATTTTTCACTTCTAATTCAAATTTCTTTTTCGCTGATTTGTAAACAAAGGTTTATTTACAAGTTACCACAACTCTCAAAATCGGCACAACCAAAGTAGCGGTACCACTGACGGCGCCACCTTTGTTCGCTGCACCGTGTAATATGATAGTATTTTAGCGCAGAACTTCTTTTTGCGTAGGCAGCCTTCGGCCGCACTTAGGGATTATAACCCTCACTACGTAGAATTCTCTTCTGTGTTGCCAAAGAAAGGGGACTGAACACCTTTTGCAGAGAACACATTTCTGCGTAGGCGGCCTTCGGCCGCACTTAGGGATTATAACCCGCACTACGTAGAATTCTCTTCTGTGTTGCCAAAGAAAGGGGGCTGAACACCTTTCTGCGTAGGCGGTCTTCGGCCGAACTTAGGGATTATAACCCTCAGGCAGTAGAATTCTCCTTTCTGTTTTGCGAAGAAAAGGAGCTGAACACCTTTTGCAGAGAACACCTTTGTATATTTTTAATGCTGACTGGGTTATATCCTCTTTTGTATATCTTCTTTTGTCTCTCATTCTTTTGCATATTTCGGAGTTTGACAGCTGAACTCCGCCATTTAATTTGCATGTGCAACCAAAGTCAGACGCGTGATTTTGAAGGTGTTTTTATTTAATGAATTTTGATTAATTGGTTAATATTAATCAAGTTATAACTAATCGAGTAAAGTGTAAAGTGAAGGGGAATACAAAAATGAATTGGTGAAGTGGCTGTTTTAAGGAGAATAGGAGTGATAAATGTACCCTAATTTCCAAATTTTACAAAAAAGGGCATATTTCAAACCCAATTTGTAAATAAATTAGTGACCCTTGGCTACAAGTGTTTGCAATTTTTTTTTGGATCGGGTCACCCCTTTGGACGCAATACCCCGAAACAGGTGGGCCACTTACTAAACAGTACCCGTGGAAACTGGTGATTTAGTGCATTTTTGACGTGGTAATTGCTCATAGAAAACAACGAAATTTAACAAAAGTTTTTTGTTTATAACTTTTAAATGGTTAATAATATTAGCCTTCCCCCTCCAGATTATTAATAGGGGGGCCGAAACGCGTCGTTTGGTACCCCTCCCGACTTTTCCGGACCTTTTTTAGGGGTTTACCCTACACTAGAGAATTAATTGGTGAAGTGGCTGCTTTAAGGAGAATAGGAGTGATAAATTTACTCTAATTTCCGAATTTTACAAAAAAGGGCATATTTCTAACCCAATTTGTAAATAAATTAGTGACCCTTGGCTACAAGTGTTTGCAATTTTTTTTTGGATCGGGTCAGCCGGGAAAATTTTAGAATGGTAACCCCCCGAGTACGGAATTAAGGAGGGGGGAAGAGGGAGTTCTATGTAAAGTTTTAAAGCGCGGAACCTTATAGTTTTTAAGAAATTTGTTATTAAAGTTTGTAATTTTCTCCAACTTGTATGGGACTATTTCACAATATATAATGCACTTTCCACTAATTTTACACGTTATTTACACTCAATATATGCGCAGTAAGAGTGTGCACGTTCAAGCAAATAAATACTTTAAGTATATTACAGATTTTTTATCAAAAATTGATTGTTGTTTAATTTTATGAGAGTACATGCAGAATATGTGCAAATGGCAGCAGGACTGTGTTGCCATATCTAAAACCAAGAGTGGAAAGCAAGACCAAAAGAAAATACGATTAAAAGGAAAATACGATAAGGTTATTTTGTTCAGATTAAAATAAATAGTAGGGGGATCAGGGGCTGAACACCTTTCTGCGTAGGCGGCCTTCGGCCGCACTTAGGGATTATAACCCTCACTACGTAGAATTCTCCTTTCTGTGTTGCCGGAAGAGGGGAATATGACCCCAAGCCCCCTACTATTTATTTTTATCTGAACAAAAGAACCTTATCGTATTTTCCTTTTAATCGTATTTTCTTTGGTCTTGCTTTCCACTCTTGGTTTTGTAGATATGGCAACACAGTCCTGCTGCCATTTGCACATATTCTGCATGTACTCTCATAAAATTAAACAACAATCAATTTTTGATAAAAAAGCTGCAATATACTAAAATTATTTATTGGTTTGAACATGCACACTCTAACTGCGCATATATTGAATGTAAATAACCTGTAAATTTACTGGAAAGTGCATTATATATTGTAAAATAGTGCCATACAAGTTGGTTAAAATTACAAACTTTAATAACAAATTCCTTAAAAAGTATAAGGTTGCGCGCTTTGAAACTTCATACAGGGAACTGTTAGACCCCCCTCTACCTCCCATATTTTCCTTAATGCTGTACCCCGGGGTTACCAATCTAAAGCCCACCCCAGGTAACTATTAGACCCCACTCTACCTCCCATATTTTCATTAATGCTGTGTTCGGGGGTTACCAATCTAAAGCCCACCCAAATTCGTTAGTGTTGTTAAAACACACACATGTCGATGCACACTAAAGTCAACCCGTATCCCCCTATTTCAACATAAATTTTTGCTTTACAAAACCCCGACAAGTCAGTACATCACATGGTTTATACATATATCGCACACAATCTTCAAAGGTTGCAAAACTCAAAATTACACGTGTCAGAAAATGCGAAAAACTATTTCTTAGCATGTAATATGGGCGAGGGAGACTTTGCCATAGGTTTTTTCAGCAAATTATAACAAAAACTTGCTCCAGCTTTTAATGAAGGGTAAATTAAAACTCCCTGCATATTTATTGCCCATAATTTCAATCCCAAAATTTCAATTCACTTTTGAAGATAGTGTGCTATGTCATACCTTCTTTAAACGCCGCATTTAATGTCGATGTATAAACCGAATATAGCATGTGCTTCCAATAAGTAAAATTATTGGTTGATGCTGGCAGAAAGATCTAATATCCTTCACAAACTAACGTCTCCTTCACGTTCGTGCAGGGATGAAACGATACAAGTAAGTACAAGTACATACTCGATACTTTTCGATCGTTACCACGTAATTTTGGTATCGATACTTTTGAACCAAGCGCAATTCACGAAAAACAATACTCGTATCGAAACACGATATTAATATTAAGGGCCGTTTGCACCATGTCTAGTTAACGCTAACTGGAGGTACATCCTTCAGTTAA